TTCTTTGTTATGATGATTGTGACATTATATTGTAAGTTTAACTGGCAATGCCGATAAGTTTATTTTCATGTTACATTGCTATTAACAACAATACCAGGATAATTAGAAATTTTAAAATAGCTTCCTTTTGAAATGTAAACAAGTAAATATAAACTTATGCAAAATAATGAATTATTCATGAATTCAACGATGAGTCATTAATGATCATAATGAGTCACTGTGTCACTGATGATATCACATTTTAAATTAGACAAGACTAGACAATTATGACAATCCATAGATAATCACTTTTAGTCGCTGCCCTCAACTTTTTGCTCCTTCGACATTTGACAACGAAAATGATCTATTCTAAGCCTGTCCTTTGGTATCTAACTGGTCTCTCTCTTCTCCTTCTAACTCTAGCCAGCAACGGCAGAGATTTACAGTCCGAAGAAGGGAAGGAAGAAGAACGCCCGGTGATCAGATTTCTTGCCCTCGTTCAATGGAGGGATGAGTTCAACAGGACTCATTCTGGCTGGGACACTGGCCCTGACATGCTAGCTGCTGGTCGTGTTGCTGTACAAGAGATTAACAACAGGACTGACATACTAACAAATTATACTTTAGAAATGATAGAGGGAAGACATGAGGCATGTGGGCTGACAGAGGCTAATTTAGGGATTAAGGAACTGGCCAGTAAAGGAATTGGCAGGGAAAATGGAAGTGTTGTTGCTGTTTTGGGATTATTCTGTTCAACTAGTGCCCAGCATATAGCACCAGTCGCTGGTAAGGCTGGTCTCATACAGCTATCCGCAGCTAATTCTCCATTGTTTTCGAGTGATTTACATAATTTTCCTCATCTCTGGAGGATACTAGTTTCAGCTAAAGCATACGCTGACATGATGCTATCATTAATGAAGCGCTTTGGATGGAGAAAAGTGGGTGTAGTTCAAGATCTTGGTACAATATTTCATTCTGGTATAGCGGAATCATTTATCGATCTGATTCAAGACAACGATGAATACACTATCAATTATCATGGCGGAATCATACACGCTAGAGATGAACTAATAAACTCTGCACTGGACAATATTAAAGCCACCAGAACCAGAATAGTCTTCCTACAAACCACTGGACCACAGACAGCAAAGTTCCTGTGTGCAGCTGCAAATAAAAATATGTTTTATAGAGACTATCTCTGGATTATAACCGATTACTTTTTGACTGGACTCATTAAAGAGTTAGAAGGATTGAGTAACTGTAACGAGGAGTTGCTACGTAAAGGTATCAATGGGTCTCTGATTGGATTCTTTGATCTTCAAGACACTGATGCTGTATTCACTAATGCTTCTGGTTTCAATTATTCAGAATATGAGCATAAATATGAGGAAGAATTAAATGAAACAAGAAAGGAATATTATAGTTCAGATGATGATGTAGGAGATCTATTGTATGCTGGTTTACTGTATGATCAAGTATGGGCTCTAGCCCTTGCTATTAATAATGCTATTGAACTATACAATGTATCAATGGAGGACTATAGCTATGATCAATATGAGGTCACCGATAAAATAGAAAAATCATTGGGCCGGGTTAGTTTCAGAGGTGCTACTGGACACATTATGTTCTCAGAGGATAGAGAAGTATCAACGCCAATTAATATATATCAGGTAAATTCGCTTGTTAATATTTCTGACCCACACGAACTGATTGGATATTATGATTCACAGTATGATAGAGTCCATATAACAG